CAGCGCGAGCGTCATGGGTGTGTCTCGAATCGAGCGGTGTGTTCCTCGTGTAGCCAAGAGGGAGAAACGTCTTTAGAACATATTCTAGCGATTGGTTAGACTTCCGGTGCAGGATAATAAGCGTGTCATCGGTCTGAATCGGCTACTCAGATGTTTCAGGTGTGTGTTAGAGAAGGAAAAATGTCACAAAAACACAGTGCACACGAAGCAAAGGCGTCTGAAGTGTGTTCGTGTCGTTGCATTGTGTGACCTCAAGAGGGCGGTGAAAACATTTCAAGGTTGTCGTGGTTCGCATGGGCCTGACCCCTTGTTCATACTGGATACCAGAAAATAAAAGTGGCTTGATTCAATGACACATTCCCAAGCTTTATTCATTCATTCATTCATTCATTTATTCATCTTCGTTACATGCTTTATCCTGGTCAGGGTGGTGGAGAATTGTCGTGGATAAGTCAGCTTTTTTAGCCAAAGACTTGGACATCTACTAAACTCGCTGAAGTTCTTGACCTCGGCCCCAAGTCATAAACTTCAGAGACAGAGAGTTTAGTAGATGTCAAAAAGGAAATAAACTTGATCGAAAAGTGTGACAGTCTGCAGAAAGTCCGAACTACGCAAGCACTCAGCATTTTATATATACGTTTCTCCACGGCGTCCTCATTACAACAGACCAATCTTCTTTGCCACGATTAAATATTCATGTCTACGTGTTACAGTATCTCACAAAAGTGAGTACACCCCTCACATGTGTGTAAATATTTGATTCTATCTTTTCATGTGACACCACTGAAGAAATGACACTTTGCTACAATGTAAAGTAGTGAGTGTACAGCTGTGTGTAACAGTGTCAATTTGCTGTCCCCTCAAAATAACTCAACACACAGCCATTAATGTCTAAATCACTGGCAACAAAAGTGAGTACACCCCTAAGTGAAAATGTCCACATTGGGCCCAATTAGCCATTTTCCCTCCCCGGGGTCATGTGACCTGTTAGTGTTACAAGGTCTCAGGTGTGAATGGGTTAATTTGTGGCGCATGCGCAGTTAGTTGTTTTTCCTCAAAACGATTTCATGAGGTCATGGTTTCTTCTTTTTTTTTAAACAGGCGTGTGTGTGTGTGTCCTGACCTTAATCCACACTCAACCTGTTTTGTTATTTTTTGTTTAAGTCTGTGGAGGAGGATACAAGCTGGCACAGAAAGAACAACCATTGTACAGTAAGACTCAGAGTTCATCCAACTCAGTACACCGTCCCATGGACCCAGACCATGCTTCCAACTACCGATTATACATATAGATTATACCTTTCAGCTAATATTTATTATTCGACTATGCTTAAGTAATAATTCTAAATGTTGGAGACATATTGAATACACTTCATTAACATATCCAAATGCTAGTTACACATATTGATTACGCTTCATAAATATTTTCAATAGAATCCGCTGAATCCCGGGAATACGCGCTTGAAGGGGATGCCAGTCCATCACAAAGCACCACACACACACACACGTTTGAATCCATTTAGAATCACCAATCCACCTACAGGCATGTTTTAGTAGTTGGGAGGAAACCGGAGAACCCGTAGGAAACCCATGAGGACATGAGGAGTAACCCGAGCTCAGGATTGAACTTGGAACAAGTACGCCACTGGTATAGTAGTACAGGGTGTCCGAAAAATCCTCCAAAATAGGGAAAATTTAAAATGCTTTTAACCTGTTTTCCTACATCCAGGGATTTACAATTGTATTATTTCAACAACATTTATAATCAGAGAAGAATGATGATTTGGGAGTGTATGGATTATTGAATAAAAGATCTGTGTTGGACTGGCACCCTGTCCAGGGTGTACTCCGCCTTGTGCCCGATGCTTCCTGGGACAGGCTCCAGGTTCCTTGCGACCCTGAAGAAGGAATAAGCGGTTGAAGATGGATGGATGGATGGATATATGTGTTGGATAGGCTGTCCCTGTTATTTTAAGTAAAGAAACGTGTAAATATATCATCTTTACGAATTATATTACCACTTAACTTAACCGTCAGTCCGAAATCTCTGAGAATGGACGGGGTATTATCAGCAAGTTTAGGCCTAGCTAAATAGCCTAATAGAATAGTTCACCTGATGCTGTAGATCTTGATAGCAACCTTGGCTACAGGTTTACACGATAGAACATGTAGCCTAATGTTAGCTAATTATGTTATGGCTCGTTTTTCTTTATGTGCTAATGATTATCAGGGAAACCGCCATCATTGAGATGTACACAACATACAAATGAATCTCCACCTCAGGGGTCTGAGGTAATAAATGAATGAATGATTGAATGCTTACATGGGCGACCAAAAAAGCTCTACAGCTTGTATTCGTTGCCAGAGACAGGACTAATCCACTGCCTATCCCGTCTCCCATTCAAACCTATACCACAAAAGCCTATTACATTTTACGTTCAAGCATTATTATTTATTTTAAACGGATAAATATAAAAGAACAAGAAGACAAGTCCGATAAAGATCTGCTGAAGGAGATGGAGGAGGAACACAGGAGATCGGGACGAGAGAAAGCGATGTGCAGAAATGGACGGAAAGATGTTGGAGTTTGAAGCCGTTAGGGAAGAAGGATTACATGCTGGACGAGATGACAGGAGAGATGGAGAACCTAAATAGAGTTTAAGAAGGAGCTCCAGACAATGGAGGAGCTCATGAGAACTGATAAGAAGTTGAAGAACTTTCCCCATATACTGGTTTCAGAAGAGGAAAAGCTAGATAGAGGCTTGAGCTCCAGCTGAGGCAAGCTCAGAGACGATAAGAGAAGGATGAATTAAGGAGAATCTTTCTTTGGCTTTCAGGTGTGAGAAACTGAGATGGAGAAGGAGAAGGAGAGGAAGCTCTCAGGATTTTGGAACTGACTCAGGATGAGGGCATGGAGAAAGATCAGGACAAAGACGTATCTCTACTCACCTGTCCGTTCAGAAAGCTCCGCCTCCCGCTCAAGCGTTCAGGCATTCTAGCCTCATCGGCACGTCAACATTTCAGGGGCTTGGTTTATACTTTTTGAACGATAACTTACTGCATCTTTAAGACGATTTGTTTTCTCTATTGTGCTTTATGTTATACAGTATGAAAAATCTCTGAGTCTCTGCAATTGTTGTTTACACACCTGAGTGTGTACAATATACACCATTCTCATTTGTTTTAGTCACTTCTTCTTCTTCATCTTTGTTTTTTTCTAACCCCTTTACCCACACTTTATGCACATTATTACTGCTGTAATTGTCTAACACGAAGGTTACATGTGGGGGGGCGGGGGCGGGGGGTTCTGTTATTCTGGACGTTAAGTGGACAATTGGAACCGTGTCTAATTGCACCATTTTTGAAGTGTATTTATTTCAGTTTGGTTCACTTTGGGGTCAGTGTGCTTCCCTGGGGAAGTGTTAGCAGGAAAGTAAAGAGCCTGTAGTTAGAGGATGTTTGGAAGCAGTCCCAAGGGGAAAAAGCCAAAAGCAACATATGAACATTTATATAGAGCCAGGCTCTAGGGTGACCTTTGACCCATGATGCCGTTCCGAACGTCAGCGGAACTGATGCTTTATGCTTAAACCCGTAACCTGGAAATCTATGAATACACGCCACGCGTAGGAACAAGGAGAGAGGAGGATTGTAGATTTTGATTAGATTTCCTGATGTAAACAAACGACATGAAACAAGCCTACAAGATTGAAACATATTTCATTCATTATGGAGGCGTTTCTGGGGCTGGGGGGGTGTTAGGGGGTTGAGTCGATCCACTTCTCAGTGGTATAGCCTATTTTCATGGATTTTTATTAAACACGCCAATGCTAATTTATTGAAATAATTTAAGAAATGATAAACAAATTATGATAAATTATATCATCTGGATGATGACAGGATAATGGATAGAAGCAAGTTTATCTGAGAGTTTAGAAGCTGGAGAACGGTTCTTTTTTTCTTTCTTTCTTTCTTAAATATTACTCCAAAAATCATGAAAAAAGAAATATGTTTATGTTTATGTGGTTAAATCATTACAAAATCACTATACTGTGTGTACATAAGTATTCGCTCCCCCTTGAACTTTCCCACATTCTGTTGTGTTACAATCTGGAACTGAAATGGATGTAATTGGGATTATACAGCGTCATGAACCTACACGAGATATTCCATAATGTTGAGCTGGGAACTGGAAAAAATCTGGTATTTACCCCTCCATTGCTGAGAAACCCCTAAATTAGATCTGGTCACCATCAGAAGACACATAATTATAATTTATGGAGTCCAGATTAAAGTGTCATGTGATCTCAATATTAATGTACCTGTTCCTGGAAGATCTCAGAGTTTGCTTGAGAAAATCTCTAAACAAACATAATCTTGAACACCAAGAAGCGATCAAAACAAGTCCGGGACAAAGTTCTGGAAAAGTATCAATGTTTGGATATAGAGGGGAAAAAAATATCGCAAACTTTGGGAACATTTAGTCACAGTGTGCGCATAACTCATACTTCACTTAAGTATTTTGCATTTATAATTTAGAGCAACTCTGAAATGTTCTCACATTCAGGAGGACCGTGATCAACAAACAGTGGGATTTATATAATAAAATCAGATTAATAATCGTATAAAAGAAAAATTTCATATGACTGCTTTGTTGGTTTTTGGACTGCACACGATTTTGTATTCTATTATTGCAGCATTTTCCTACCTTATAAACTGTAGTTCTTTTAAAACAAATTTAAAAAATACACCTAGTTTAATACACCATCCATCTTCTATACCGCTTATCCTTATCAGGGTCACGGGGAACCTGGTGTCTATCCCAGGGAGCATCGGGCACAAGGCGGGGTGCCAATCCATCGCAGGGCACAATCACATACACAACGGACACTTTAGACACGCCAATCAGCCTACCATGCATGTCTTTGGACTGTGGGAGGAAACCGGAGTACCCGGAGGAAACCCCCGCAGCACAGGGAGAACATGCAAACTCCGCCCACACAGGGCCACGGTGGGAATCGAACCCCCGACCCTGGAGGTGTGAGTGAACGTGCTAACCACTAAACCACATGCGCCCAGATTATACCCTGTCGTAGGAAACTAACAGGAGAGTATTTGCTGCACTGCTGCTATAGAAAATGAATCAGTACCTTCTGATCAATCAGAATCAAGAACTCAGCAGCGCAGCGGTCAAAAATGAAACGTAAAGAAAGAGAACGTTCGAAACGAACCTGCGCATAAGAATTCGGCTCTTCAGAACATTTTCCCATCATTCATTACTGAAGTATACGCCAGATCTGTAATCTCCCACTCCAGACATACTTAAATCCTATTAAAATATTCTTCAGTAGAAACGGATCATTGAATCAGAATCCTTCTGATCGCAAAATCGTAAACACAGCAGTTCCATATTTTTATTTCGACTCAAAAAGTCTTTGAAAGCTGCCAGATGTTTGTTAAAGGCCATCACTTGAGCAGATGTCTACAATAAACCGGAGGAACATCTGGATTTTGTCAGTAGCGCAGTCGCCGAGGTGAAGCTCTTAGCGAATCATCAGCAAAACATTCCCTCCTGGAAGGCAAACATAGTGAAGTACTCAAGACGTCTACAACTGATTTATTTTTTTATAGCAAGATCGGATGTTAACGATCAGGTTCCCCCTGAAGAGAGCTCCACATCTGGAATCCGTGTCTACTCCTCGATATGTAATACGTGTTTTAATTCCAGGGCGAGTTGCAGAAAGCTCGCATGCTTGTGTCCATCTCAGATGTTGGATTTAAAACTTTAAACACATAAACGGTCGCAGATTTCTCTTTCACAACTGTATTCCTTGGGCCAAAGGTAAGCGCATTTTTCTCCTCGCTGAGATCATTTGCATTGAGATCATATTTTTTCTTCAGAATTTAACCCTATCCCTAACTCACATTTGCAACCCAATGTCAAATCCATCGATCCTGTCAAAGCTCCAAATGACTGAGTGTTTTGTTGGAATCGGACTTTATGAAGTGCAGCATTAGTTAGCATTCAGTCCACACACACTCCACATTTTGAACTATTTCATGTATTCTTTTTCTTATTACTCTTTTTTCATTTAAAGAGAGAGGGGGGGGTGCTCTGCTGGTGCATGACTTAAAAACAATGCTGGAGGTTTGATTTCCTTCACCTTTCTCAAAAATAGAAGAACACCGTGCTCAACCGGTGCTCAGTGGAAGGATGTAGCGTACTGCTGATAAAACAGGAGGCTGATAAAACAGGAGGCGTGTTTAAAGCCTGAGAACTGAGAATGGGAATGGTATGGGTGTGGTTATACTCTCGTGCATTTAACCAGACCACACGGTACAGTCTTGCTCACATCTCAGCTCCTCCAACAAAGCCACACTGAGCTCCGGCCCATCGTTTCCTCAGAGGCATGGTTTCTCAAGTGACCAACTCCCTTCTCAAGTGCCTGCTGATTCTCGTCTGCCTTGTCTCAGTGATACTGAATATCGTTTTGTTATGCCTGAATTCGAACAGGCTTCCAAAATGCCACACGCATTCGCAAGGAACGGTGGCAGCCGACCACACGGACCACAGCTTGATATTCGCCGACCTCACTCCCAAGGAATACCGGATGGTCCGCGATTACATGTGGACTCAGAAGGACTTGAGGATTTCTCGCTCTGCCACCGCAAAAGTGTCGGAGAACTACATTTTCTTGATAGACCTCGTGCTTCCGAAAAAAGCAGACGCGCTGAGATACCTGGACAATCGGGGAGTCAAACCCGAACGCCAAGCCAGCGTTGTGGTGTTTTATGGAGAGTTTAACTACCTCAAAGAGTACGTTGTGGGACCTCTGCCAGGTCCCCTTAACCATCGGGATGTCACAATGGAGAAGTACAAGGTGGAGAGCTTGCCTTTCACGGCACGACCTGTGACCATTGGAGAGTATGTGCAGCTTTTTGATTTGATCTATGGCGATGTCTTTACGCAGCTGCAGACAGAGCTGAAGGAGAGCTTCGGTTATGACCCAAAAAGCCGGAAACTGAGCATTTTCGAAGGGATGCCCAGAGGAGTGAAAGCAGGTGATCGAAAGACATGGATATCATTTTTTCGAGATTTCAGTGGCATGTATATCCATCCAGTTGGCTTTGAAATTTTAGTCTCTCATGAAAGTAAAAACTCCTCGGACTGGACGGTTGAAAAGCTCTTGTACAACGGCAGATACTTCGACACCATTGAGAGTTTTAAACAATCCTATGCAACTGGTGATGTGCAGAAGATCGTCTATAAAAAGGTCTCTAATTTCGCCTCGCTGAAACCGAGAAGCGTACCTACGGGGCTGGGACCACATCAGTATTACCTCCAAGGCAAACGCTTCAGCGTGAAGCGCAACCAGGTCATTTACAAGGACTGGACGTTTGCATTCGGTCTGAGCTCACTGACCGGCATGCGAGTGTTCGACGTTCGCTTCAGAGGAGACAGAATCATCTACGAACTCAGCGTCCAGGAGGCCATGTCTGTGTATGGCTCCATAACTCCAGGGATGATGCTCACCAAATTTCTGGACACAAGCATTGGAATCGGTCGCTTCGCTCACGAACTGGTGCGCGGCGTCGATTGTCCGTACTCAGCCACGTACATAGACGTTTATCGCTACATCGACATGAACGCCGCGCAGCTTTACAGCAACGCCATCTGCGTCTTCGAGCACGATGTGGGACGCCCACTACGCCGTCACTTTTCAGATTTCTTCCAGAACAGCTATGGCGGCCTGACCAACAGCGCCCTGTATATCCGCTCCATCACAGCCATTGGCAACTACGACTACATCTGGGACTTCATCTTCTACCAGAGCGGCACAGTGGAGGCCAGAGTTCACGCTACGGGTTATATATCATCCTCTTATAAACTGCCCGGCAGTCTCAAGTACGGCCACCAGGTCGCTGAAAACGTGTTGGGAAACATCCATACGCACTTCGTTAACTTCAAGGTGGATCTGGATATTTTAGGTAAGTGACCACTGCTGTGATTAGCACCCATTAGCAAGCAGTTATATATGTATGTATATATATATATAAAGTGGGGGGGGAAAAGTATTTGATCCCCTGCTGATTTTGTACGTTTACCCACTAACAAAGAAATAATCAGTCTATAATTTTAATGGTAGGTTTATTTGAACAGTGAGAGACAGAATAACAACAAAAAAATCCAGAAAAACGCATGTCAGAAATGTTATAAATTGATCTGCATTTTAATGAGGGAAATAAGTATTTGACCCCTCTGCAAAACATGACTTAGTACTTGGTAATGACTTAGTAATTACTTTTCATTTTCAATGCCCTGGCTGAGGGAAGGAGGTTCTCACCCAAGATTTGACGGTACATGGCCCCGTCCATCGTCCCTTTGATGCGGTGAAGTTGTCCTGTCCCCTTAGCAGAAAAACACTCCCCAAAGCATAATGTTTCCACCTCCATGTTTGATGGTGGGGGTGGTATTCTTGGGGTCATAGGCAGCATTCCTCCTCTTCCAAACACGGCGAGTTGAGTTGATGCCAAAGAGCTCCATTTTGGTCTGATCTGACCACCAGAGGACAACTGGGTGAAAGTGTTGTGGTCAGATGAGACCAAAATGGAGCTCTTTGGCATGAACTCAACTCGCCGTGTTTGGAGAAGGAGGAATGCTGCCAATGACCCCAAGAACACTATCAAATACTTTTTCCCCCACTGTATATATATATATTAAAGTGAGACACTCTAGGACGATTGAACTAATGATCTTGTTTACGTCGTTTTTCGTTTGTTTGGATAAATTGCATCTATAAGACGTCTTCTCTTGAACTGTAGTAATCAAAATGTCTAAATATTAAACTTTGTGAAGGGGGTCTGAGCGTAAATCTTCTTCAATCACATCATGGCATGTATCCTTGAAAAGCTTGTTTCCTGATATATACATCAGGTTATGCGTCATTATAACATGCACATCAATTTCCTTTTTAAACCCTATCAAATTGTTTTCCTCAAAATCTCTTATGTGATTGTTATTTGAAAAATTCGAATCGAAAAAATATCAGAAGTCTGAGACTACATTGAAATGTAAAATGAATCTGGGGTTTATTTATTTCTTTGTTTGTTTATTTCGTTTCATTTAAAATTGGAAATAAACAGAAGGTTGTTATAGAATGAAATGTCTAAAACAAAGAAAAGTAAATGTTCGATATCTTCAAAATATTTTCATATTCCATATTCCGCACTATTTTAAATGTAAGCCGATGTGTGATACTGACCGTGTTAACTGCTTGGTACGAAAGGTCAGATTTTTCCTCATGTCTAATCTCTTCTATCGAAGCATATGATCAGATGACCGATAGATTTGATCGAAAACGGATGAAAACGGGACGAACGAAATACTACAAAACTCTGAAATTCATGGAAATATTTCCAAGGTTGCACTTTTCACTCAATTCGAAAGGAATTCAAATTAAAGCCATTTTATCACTAGCGCTCTCAGATTTTTGGACCCCACTGTGTATTCCTCCAGTGACATGGAGGTGTTGGACACATGTACAAGTTCATGACCTTCAGAAAAAGAAAAAGAAAATTCAGGAGTGAGGAATTCAGCCAAAAATGAATTGTAAACAGTTTTCTCATCGTGCCAGACATACTCAATCAACCAAGACATGTTAGCATAGGCAAAGATAAGCACATGTCACTTTTTTAAAGAAAGATTAAAGATGTAGGAGACTCGAATGTGTAATATGTGCCTGTTCCTTCCACACAGATCACTTGAACGGTCTCTTTAAACATACAGTAAGCAACTGATTGTGTGAACGCTAACTAGCCAGCAAAAGCTAGCTTAGTGAATGAAATCTAAACTAAGGTGTGAAAGATACCGTAACTAGCGAGCAAAAGCTAGCCCAGTGAATGGAAGCTAAACTAGTGCGTGAAAAGAAACTAGCAGACAAAAACTAACCTAGTTCGTGAAAACTAACTGAGTAAAAATGAAACCTAGTATGTGAAAAATAACTAGCAAGCAAATGCTAACCTAGTGAGCCTAGCGACTCATTAAACCATGTTGTTCATCACAGTTCATGTATTAA